ACACAAACATACCCATTCATTACTGGAGTGAATCTGGCTCTTGTATAGTGTTACCACTAACATTAAACATGATGAGACTGTGTAAATGTTAAAAATTAAATAACTGTCTAAATATGAGGTCTGCGTTGGGCTTGCAGCCCCAGCCAATGCCTTCTATGCCACTGCTGATGACATCCCGTAGAGATCTCCGTGAGATCACAGTGATAGCCAAGACAGTCTGGATTCCCACATAGCGGATTCAATCATGTGATAGTTTATCACGAAGCAAAACATACTTCAAAGCAATTGCTTTGATGGCAAAATTTCACCCCTTCCACAAAGGATTTTTAGTCCTCCTGTCAGCAGACCCGTGCTGTCTAAATGTCAATATGGCAAAACACATATTAACTTGGAGGAAAGAATTTAGAACATTATTTGGCACATTCAGGTTCCCTAAACTGACATTTTTGGTCTGTTCAGATCTTTGGAGCTAGTATATTTTGTGACCCCAGTATATTATCTGTATAATGACATCTTTCCAATTTGTGCCTTTCCTTGCATTGTAAGTATCGGATAAGAAAAAAATATATTCTTTTCCACTTATAGTATCTTCTGGAATCTCACAATTTTCAGACTTCGGAATTAATTTTTTCATATAGATGTGAGGGTTTTTTAAAAAAAGCTATCTTTTAATACATTGTTCACTCAGCAAAATCCTGAGTAAAAGCAGGCAAGAATGGTAACCAAATATTTAAAAATATGCAAAAGTACCACTTCCACTTCCTCTCAGCAGTGCTGATATTTCTCAGCGCAAACCTGCTCTAATTACACTTCAGTTCTGAAATCAGACAAATTTGATAAAAGTAGAATGATTCTATTCCTCATGAAATAAGACAAATTATGCTTTGAGAGAAAATAATTTGCTATAAAGTAAAAATTGTTTTAATATTTGTATCTTATAATAAAACCACGACATGTTTATAAACACTCTCAAGCATCTTTACAGTGGGGCCATCGCTGACACCTGGAAACGCAATAAATATGCACGGACACACTGAGTATGAAATATACATCTTGATTTTATAATCGTGTGTGCTTTATTTTTACACAAATGGAATGGAAGTGTCGAATATTTACACTTAACAGGAGTGTAAGCTGTGCAGTGTCTCTGTAAACTCCAGCCCAGGCAAGGAGTATTTCCCCCTCCCTCCCATCCTGCACTACAGCTCGATGGAGGAACATCCTGTCGGAGAGAAGCACAAAACTGTCATATTGAAAGGCTCTAACGGGTACAGCCTGGTGCACTCGGAATTTAAGACACACTTAAGAAACACAAATTCAAAAAGGAGAGAAGAAAAGTTTGCCATCCCATTGGGAGTCAACCTTGCCATTGGTTGTCTGTCCTCATGAGTTGCTAGGGAGATTCTGAATTGTACCTTTTAGATGACCTTTGTCTCAATTGCCCACCTGTCTTAGCTTGTCCTCAGCTGCTACAAGAAACTGCACAGCTGTACAAGATATGATTTCCAAAGCACAGTTTTCAGTGAGGAAGGATATTTACAGACTGGGGTGTGTGTGTGGGTTTCCATCCACATTCATTCATACCCATTGTAGTATGTGTACACATGATACACATACCACATATAACATACATACACATAAGTAAAATGTATATCCACAGAATTCTTTAGAGAGTCCTCTGGCAAATCAGTTGTCACAGGGGGTACTCCACATGCTTTAAAGAAAATGTCCTCCTTTTTTTTCCCCCCAAGAGTGACAAATTACTATGATAAACTTAGGAACTATCCTGAGTCCTTGACTTAAATATTTTTGAAGGAATTTAGGCAGGACCAAGACAGGAAAAAAGAGATGTTATTTCACCAGCGAGTCCGTTCAGCCTTACCAGGGCAATCACCAGCTGAAAAGCAGAGGGGGCTTCATATAAAAATGGGAAAAAGAAAGCTTATGAATGGGAAAAAAATGTCTCTCTCCAAATCAAGGCGATGGCATGGCTTCGATGAGAAAGAAGAGGTTTGCTGTCAGAATAATTGTTGGGGCCAGTCTGCCTTTAGTGAAAAGAAGTGTCCTTGGAGCCACGGGATGGTGCTGGGAGTGGGCTCGCTTTGGACCAGCCTTCAGGCAGAGGCACCCAGGTGCCGGCAGGGCCCAGAGCACATGCAGCGTCACTGCTAGGGCAGCGGTGCAGGCTGGCTCAGTGAGGCGTGCTGGAGCTGCTCCAGTTCAGGACCTCACGGTCAGCGTTGCTTTCTGGGCTGCGCAGGTGAAACGGTGCCCCAAAGCATTTGTGTCATTAGTCCAATCTATGGACTTGCTGTCTGAATCAGCCATGAGCCCTTATAGGACAGAAATATTAAGAAGCAGGGTATGGCAGAGGAGATGATCAGAGATGCG